GGCAGGGCAGGGCAGGAAGGCAGCAGAGCCTTTCAGAAGGGGCCAGGCAGAACAGCCCCCCAACCACTGGGCAGCATTTCCAGTAGAGACTTCAAGGCAGGGCTGACCCACCTAGATCCCCAATCCAGGACCAGGGGGACTGAGAGTGTCTCAGCAGGTGGCACGTGGGTGGGTGGTGGCCCAGGAGGCCCCCTCTCATCCTGGTCCCCTGGCAGACCACTGGGTCCTAGGTGTCGTGTGGTGGAGCCCCAAAGGCCAGCTTTCTAAGCCAGCTGGGGGGATGGGGTACCACATGGCTGAGCAGGGGCCTTGTCCCCCGAGCTCCCCGGCTTTGTCGGGTCTCACAGGCCCCTCTCTCCAGGAAGCTCTGAGGTCCGTGACCTCAGGCAGTTTTCTCAGCCCTGACCCTGTGACTATGATGTCAGCAGCCAGTCCCCTGCCCTCCCCTCCCCGGGGGCCAGCGGGCGGGCTGGCGCCGCAGGCCACTCACTCTCGGTGCGAAGCTTCTTCTGCTCCAGGATGCGGATGTCCTTCCTGAGCATGTCCAGGGCCGCCACCTGCTCCTCCCGCTCCTGCGTGACCTTGACCAGCTCCTGCTGCAGGCGGAGCCAGGTCACCTGGGCCTGGTTGACACTGGCATTGTGCTCGTCCATCTGCTTGGTCAGCCTTTTGATTTCCAGCTCCAGGGGCCCTAATTCTTCCCCCTGAAAAGGACACGCGTCAAAATGTGGAGCGAGCTTCTGGGTTCAGGCCTCTCTTTGAGCGGGCTGCAGAGTCTTGGATTTCTGCTCTGGGGGCTCGGGGGCTCTCAGGAGGGCTGGGGACCTCCAGTTTGCTGGTTTTGAGGCCCCAGGTCTAAGCCCTCAGGAGCCCTCGTAGGTGTGGCTCTGGTATACAGGGGGCTTGAGCCGCCAAGGCTCAGGTTTGGCTCCTGGGGATCCACTGGGTTTGGGGGATGGAAGAGCCAAAGGGCAGGAGTTACCCGAGAGCTCACGGGCCACCACCCAGGCACTCAGGGACTCCAACACACGGAAAGGTGCGGGGGTTCCAGGACCCGGGCAGTGGGTACAGTCCTGCCTGACACTCATGAGACCACTTCATTTTCAGCAGCAGTGGCCAGCAGGTCAGATCCAGCCCCCACCTGTCTGTCTGGCCCTCAGGCCATTAACAAATTCAAAACTCAGCCGCCCTGCGCTAGGCGAGAAGGCACAGGGTTCTGAGGTCCACCCTGCCAGGCCCTTCCCTCCTGGGGGCAGGGTGGAGCTGAGTGGCTGGGACTTGGTCAGTAGCACCCTGCCCTTCCTGCCTGGCCTCTCACCCCCAGCTCCGAGACCATCTGCTCCAGCTGCTTGTTGAAGAAGTTGATGAGGCCCTGCTTCCTCTCGATGAGGATCGTGCGCCGGGCGATCTCGTGCTCACTGTTGGTGATGAGGTCGTTCACCCTCTTCACCTCCTTGTCCAGCTCGCCCAGCACCCTCTGATGCATGTCCAGCCTGCAGTTGGTGTGGGTGATGTCCAGGGTGGCCTGAGCCATGTCACCATCGAGTTTGGAAAGATGTGTCACCTGAGTTGGTGAAAGGAACTCGGTGAGCAGGATTCCCCGGGGTTCTGGAGGAGCGGGCCCGTCCGGCGTCCGGCTTCCTGTGGCAGTGGGGGAGGAGGACGCGGCCTTCCCGCGGGAACCCACGTGGCGAGTTCTCACTAAGAGAAAGGTAAGGCTGCTGGGTTTTCTTGTTGAACAAACAGCAGCATACGTGGAGGGGCGAGGTAAGACCCAGAGCAGCACAGGCGGGACGCGACATCCCTGTAGTGTCGAGGTCCACCGCCATGCCCACCTGGGAGCTCTCCTCTCCTCCTCCCACAGAACAGAACCAGGTCCACACTCCACTTATTGGGTTGTAACCCGCTCTGGCCTTTGGCAAATCACTTCTGATATTCTAGGTCATGTACTTAATTTTTTTTTTTAGTTGCCGATGGACATAACACCTTTATTTTATTGATTTTTATGGGGTGCTGAGGATCAAACCCAGTGCCTCGCACATGCCAGGCGAGCGCTGTACCACTGAGTCCCAGCCCCAGCCCCTCCAGTCATGCACTTTTTAGCGGCTGTACGACACCAGGTTTTGTGACAGCGTATGAGGCAGCCATGATCACCAGATGGCCATTCCCGACTTCACCCGTCCCTACTGGGGCACTGTGTTGCTGCTCTGGCTGGCAGACAGACATCAGGGAGGAAGACGAGACCCCTGCCTCTTGGAGCTCGCAACCTATTATAAATATTACTAAATAACGCTGCAGAAAACACCAAACTTCTTTTGTTTTCAATGGGACCAATGTCCTTCCATTTTTCTGAAAAGCTGGACAAGATTCTGGACAGAAAAGATCCTTCTGTGGAGCACAGACCCCACTCAGGCCGGGGCGCCAGCTTCTGGTGGCCAGCACAGGCCACAGGGCAGGCCAGGGCTGCACAGGCTCCCCGCTGCCCCAGGCCTCACGGCCACCTGCCTCCTGCTGGGCTCTGTCGGGGAGGGAGACAGATTCAGGCTTCCCTTCCTGCGAAGGTCACTGAGAGGTCAGTGTGAAGATCCGGAGGCAGCCAGGCTCAGCACCGACTGGTCCTGGGGACAGGCAGAGGCTGTTGGCTCAAGAACAGGGTCCTCCTCCCTCTCAAGGCCCAGGGCTCCTGCCGACTCCAGCCCTCCTGGGGGCCACCTCGGTCTCTCCTCTGTGACCCCTACTGGCTCCACGCCCCACACTCACTTCTGACGGTGAAGCCCAGACCCCACCCACCTGGCATCGAATGTCCAGCCTCTCGTCTAGCGGGAATGGCGCGGCCCACTGGCCTTCTCTGGACCAGCCCGATGCCCATTTCTTCTGGCAAGGCCACCCTGAGACAGGGTCCATGCGGGGGTCAATGCCTCCCAACGCCCACTCTCTTCCTGCTCTCCTGCTAGGGGCTCCGCTTCCTGGGTCCCTTTCAACCTCTGCCCCACAGGCTCCCTCTGTCACCAGCCAGGTCACCCAGAAAGCTCTGCCTGCCCACTGAGGCTCAGGCGGCTTGTGCTCCTAAGGGGACCACCCTGTCCTCCCCCAGGACAGCAGCACTGTCCCCAGTTAACTGCCTCCACCCTCCTTGACCCCTGCTCACCCTCCCTCTGATCCTAACTCTGGATGGAATCCTGTCCGTCCACCCTCTGTTCACCTTCCCAGATATGCCCTCACCTATGCCCTGCCCTGCCTGCCCCCAGAGCTGGCCTTTAGAGCCTTCAAACAGTGTCCCCCGTCACGGTGGACGGATTTGTTGGTCTGAGACTCTTTCCTGCCCTCTTCTGGACAGAGGTGGTAGCACATGCTTGGCCCTGGCAGCTACCCAGGAAGGAACAGGGCAGGGACCTGGGGACCTGGGACCTGGGGATCTGCCTGGCTGCCACACCAGGGCCAGGCAGTCTGCTTCACTCACACCCACCACGCTCCTCACGGGCTCAGAGCACCCAGGACCACCTGCTTTTCCTGCCTGGTGGTTGTGGCCCCTGCTCTGCTCCCAGGGAGCTGCCATGTCAGCTGGGCTGTCCAGGCCCCTGTGGCCACCTGGTTCCAGCCCTGTGTTCCCCACTTCCCTGGTGCCATCAACCAGAGCGAGCGGCCCTTCTCCTGGGGTGTCTGGGGTGTCTGGGTGGGGGCTGCTGATAAGGGGCTGCAGTAGCCTCTGAGCGTCCTCCACAGGAACCTCCTCAGGGCAGGACTCCCAGGGTCACACCATGGGCAGGGGCTCCCCAGGTCACACCATAGGAAGAGCCAGAGAACAAAGAGTTGAAACAAGGAATCTTTTCTCTAAGGACATGAGGGACCCCCAACAGCCGCTGAGACCCCAGTGAGCTCACAGCTGGGGGTTCCCTGTCCTTGGGTGGCGGTGGAAAGTGACGCTCCCAGGCAGCGTGTATCCACCTGAAATGCTCATGCCCTGGGTCCAGGACCCTGGCTCTGGCCATTGCCTTCAGAAGGGTGGACAAGGACTTGTACACAGAGCGCAGAGCGCGGGGCTGTGGTGGCGTTGAGCCTAGAAGCAGCCCAAAGCTTCCAACAAGAGCACTCCTGAAGGGAGCGCGGAATGTAAGGCAGGAATGAAGAGTCGCTGGGCCAAGGGTACTCAGCGGCATGGGATGGCGCTGTGCGAAACCGTCGCTGCAGTGGAGGAAACCATGCAGCATCCACGCACTGTCCCCTGTGTCACCGTCCAGCAAAACTTAGGCAATGTGGGTTCAAATGGGGCGAGAGGAAGGCATCGGATGAGAGGCCATGTGTCTGGGGTGTGTTCACGCGTGTGTTTGCAGGAGTGTGAGTGTGTGCGTGGGTGTGCGTACGTGTACCTGTGCGTGGGCATGTGTATGAATGGGGACGAGTGTGTGTGTGTGTGTGTGTGTGTGTGTGCGCGAGGATGAGTGTGTTCGTGCACAGAAACGTTTCCAGGAGGGAATGGCGGGGCTCTGAGAGGTCCCCTCTGCCACGCCCTGCCGCCCTTCCGTGCCCCTTTGTGGGCACCTCCTGTGCCACGTGTGGGCATCAGGAGACCCTTGCCTCCACACCCACGCTCAGGGAGGTGCTGCCCTACCATGTTGGTCTTCTTCTTCTGAAGCCTCAGCAGGAGCTGCCTGAAGGACTTGGTCGTCTTGTTGGAGGTCATGTGCTCCTGCAGCTTGTCCAGGATGGAGGCGTGCATCCTGTGCCGCAGGTCCAGCTCCTGGTGGGTGGTCTGCTGGATACTCTGCAGCTCGCGTGTAACAGCTGCATGCTCCTGGAAAGGAAGAGCCATGGGTGGACAGTGCCTCAGGGTGGGCCCGTGAGGGCTGGCTAGGGCCTCCACCTGCAGCGGGGGGGGGGGCACCACGGCACCTGGTGGCCCTTGCTCAGGGCGTCCTCTGTGTTCTGCAGGGTGAGCCTGTAGGTGCTGAACTCATCCTGCAGAAGCTCGTGCTTAGCCAGGCACTGTGTGGTCAGCTTCTTCAGCAGGGTGGCCTCCGTCTCTGTCCGGCTCAGGATGCTGGCCAGCTTCTCATTCTTTTCTTCCTCCTTCATGATGGACTTCTTGTAGGCCTCCAGCTCGCTGTCGACGGACTTGGCTTGGTGCTGGCATTCTCTGCAGAAGGCGAGACAGCACAGTCAGTGACCTGCGGGACAGACATCAGGGACCAAGGCACGCAGCCCCACCCGGCTCTGAAGACCTCACCAAGTGGACGACGTGCAGAGAAATGCGTCAGGAAACAACTCTTCTGATCGAAGCCCATTTGACTGCTGTTTTCTAACGCACCCACAGAACCATGCCCACTGAGAGCCCACGCGTGACACTCCGTGTCGTGACGACGGGAGAAGGGAACAAGGGAGGGCCAGGCCTTTTGCTGGGCTCCACTGCCCGCCGTCCTCCTCCCTCACAACAGCCCTAGAGAGGAAGCACCATTCCTGCCTGAGTCACACGGGCGGTCAGCAGGGTACTGGCCCCCGCACTGCAGCATGGACCATTTAAGAGACTTGCAGTTGGTGGTGCGGCTGGAGGAATGTGAGGCGGATCCCTCTAAGTTCTGTGGCTCCCTCCCCTCAGCCTCCCACAGTGGAAACGCCTACGGTCAACATCGAGTTTTGAAGATTCTGGACAACGGTGCTGAAATCAGACACAGGGAGTCTTGGTTGTTCTTTTACAAAATTAGTTTGGCAATCCTAACTCCTTTAGGTTTCCAAATACATGTTAGAATTAACTTATCAGGTCCAGGGGGAGGGGAACTGTCCACTGCGACTGTGATCGCCATCCTTCCTGCAAAGCCACAGTTATCAGCACAGGGTGGTCTGGCGAAGGCACAGTCACAGACACCAGCGGAACAGAACGGATTCCACAGACACAGCATCAAGGAGAGAAGCTGGCCAGGACCCCCCCAGACACGGCCGAGCCACCACCAGGAGCCCGTGCAGAAAACAGAGAAAGCCGCCACAGCCCCGGGGCAGGCAGCACCCCCATAAAAAAGCAAAAACCAGAAAAGGAAGAAATTGACAAAAAAATTTAGACCTCCTTTTGGGTTTCTTCAAAGACACTGTTAAGAGAAGAGAAGATGAGCCACGGACCGGAGGGAGATATTTCAAAACACACATCTGAGAAAGAACTAGTCTGCAGAATATAAGAAGAACCCTCAGGTGGACCACGCGATTTAACAAGGAGCACAAGGTGGTTCTGCTGATGGCCACAGCGCACAGGACCCTGGTCCCAGCGCGGGTGAGAGCAGCAGGGCTCTCCTGTGCTGCCGCTGGAAATGCCACTGGGAACCAGCGCGTGGCAGAGGCCGCGGCGTCTCAGTTCCCTCAGGAGCAGGTCAACCCTCGGCCACCCCCCCACCCCCGGGCGAAATGGCTCAGCCACAGGACGGGATCTGGTCGGCCCCGGGAAGCACAGACCGCTGGTCCTGCACCCAGGGCGTCCGGATGCATTAAGCCAAGCCGCCAGCAAGGGCAGCCCCTGTCCTCCCACAGACAGGGCCACCTCTGCCTGGTCAGGACTGAGGGGAAGGAAGTCCCCGAGGCCAACCTTCCGCTTCCCTCTGGAGCAGTGTGACAGCGGAGTCCCGCGGTTCAGGTTTCCCCTGCATATTCAGGATAGCGGGCAAGACCCCGAAAGCTGCCTGGAGAGACAGCAGAATAAGGCAGACGGGGAAGGCCAGGCGCTCAGAACGTGAGCCAAACCTGCCGCTTGCGTCTGAGACACAGGGGGCCATCTTAAGGTGCTGGCCCCAAGAACTGGGAAGTCTCTGGGAAGTCGGATGACCAGGCAAGAGTTAAAGCGACGTCTCCCTGTAGGGTGAAGAGGTGTGCAAGCCACTGGAGAGACAGCGCGTCTTGGCCAGAACCTGCTGGAGGGATTCACTACCTGAAGCAATGCCCCAGGCAGCCGAGAGGAAAAGGCCACCCAGCCGGTGAGGCTGCGGGACTCCTGCCAGCCGGACAGATGGCCAGGTGCTCTGGGTGAGAGGCAGAAGCAGAAGGGGCCAGGGCCTCGGTGCTCCACCCCCAGGTCCCTGGCAGCACCTGTGTCACTGCCCCATGTTCTTGCCACAGATGGGAGCTGGCCAGTCAAGGAGGCAGCCTCTGTTCAGACCTTCATATTGATTTTTCATGATGCAGGTGAGGAGGGGGCATTGTTGTGGCTGTGTCAGCCTCTGGTGAGCTGGATTCATGTAACTGACCAGAGGACAAAGGCTCCTGGTGAGACTGCAAAACTGCTTCCAGTCAGTGGCCTGCTGAGCCCCAGGAGGGGGGCCAGCCAGCAGCGTGGCCGCGGGCCTGCAGCCTGACCAGGAGTGCCTCCATTTCTGTCTGTTTTCTAAATGTCCTGCAGGCCTGCACACCTGAGGGCTGACCGCTGGTGTTCAGGAAGTCCTGAGTGAGGCTGCTCCCGACCTGTTCAGCTGGCTCAGATTTCCCTCTCCAAACCTTCTGGGTGCAGAGAGCGGCCCTGCGGTCACGCTTACAGTTCTCACAGTGGCCCCTGCTCTTTGGAAAGGCCGACTGTGATGTGGGGGCGGAGGCAGGGGCTGGGTGCACAACTGCAGGGCGCAGAGGCCTTAAGCTCCCTGGGTGCCGGCGAGTGTGCACTGTTTCACTGAGACGTTCACTGGACACTGTGCACACCCGTTTTTAAACACCAGATGCCTACTTTGTTCACCAATCCCACTGGCACAACCCTAAGGTGTGAAAATGTGTTGAACTGTCAGAGCACTTTGACACACTGCTGGTGGGGACGTGACGGTCACAGTCTCTCTGGTGACGCCTGCAGACCTATGTACCCTGGAACCCAGGGTGTGAGAGAACGCAGGCTGCACCCTGCATGACAGAGCATTCCAGGCCTGGTGACATATGGCACCCCCGTGGGAGGGACACACTGGAGCCCTCGGGAGCCAGGGTGGACAGCACCGCACCCTCCCAGCAGAGCACAGGAGCGGCTCTGAACGGTGCTGGGGAAGCAGGTGCAGACAGTGCGCGGTACGGGGCGGGGCAGAAACGGAAGGCCACCTGGGCCTGCGTCCCTGGCTCACAGGGGAAGCTAGGACAGGAGACCCAGGCAACTGGTGTACGGGAGGACACTGGGGGCTGCCCTGGGAGGGGGCTCAAGTCGTACATGGTTTTGCAATGTTTTTAACTAAGATGTATGATATCCATTCAGAAGATTAAAAGTTTAAAAAGATGGGTAGGGTGTGGCCAAGCTACATCTCTAAGGACATGTAGGGACGGCCAGGGGGACGAGTCAAGGGGGACAATTTGCAGAGAGGACACAGTGAAGTCCTGGGGGCACAGGAAGCTGGACAACAGGAGGTCACGGAGGTGTTGCATTCCCCAGGGACTCAGGCCACCAGGCTTGGGGAGCCGCCAGTGCTGAGCCCTCTAAGAGACCCTCCTCTACTGCAGCCTTACTCAAGGTCACCGGGCCACTAACGCAAGTGGTCAGATGGCCTTGAGCACCAGCGTTGGGCAGGTGGCCGAGATTTGCAGACCAGTTAGCCCCTGCAGGGCAGGGAGACATCTGTCCGGCCACAACTGGCCTGGGCTCCTCTTCCTGTATATTTAAAGGGAAATGAGTCTTCAGACAGAATGTTCCAGAGGCCCCTTGGCTTTGTTCTGTTGATGGAGGGAGGAGGAGGAGTGAGGACTCTTAATCCAATCGCGTACACCTCAGCATTTTAAAAATCACAGCACCTGGTTCTCCTGGCTGCCCGGACGGCACCAGGCTTGCTGCGGGCAGAGGCGTTCGCTCCTCGACCCGAGGGCCCGCTCTGCACTGCCCCCGTGGGTGCCAGAGGTGGCAACGACAGGACAGCCGTGGCGAGAGCGTGCCGCGCGGGAGCCACATGCCACCTCCAGAACCCAGCTTTCCGGGTCCCAGGTCCAGAGGCCCCGTCCCTGGGTGGCTTTGGGAATCCACGCAGCACCCACATCTCCAACATGCCCTGTCTCAGAGCAGCCTCCTCCCACCCTTCCATGGGAGTGGAACTGGGGATTCTGGGTGGACGGCATCCCCCAGGCAGAACAGTCGGGCGGGAGGGGGTTTCTGCCTCCGGAGGGGAGTCTGCCCATCAAGGGGAGGCTGTGTCCCAGGGTCCACCCCTTCTCTTTCCCTTTCCCTAATCCTGCCAGGAAATCTGAGCAGGAGCCTTGCTGCCCCAGGGCCTTCGAGAGTGGGAACCTTGGAGATCCAGGGACCTGGAGAGGTGGGACTGAGGGGGCCTGCTAGACCGCCCAATGCCCTCGCGTTCCCCAGCCCGCCTGCCACCTGGCTGCTGCTCCCCGGGACGGGTGACCCCGGTGGGGCCATACCTGAGGGCCTCCGTGATGGTGCGGTGCGCCTCGTTGCGGTGCTTCATGCCCACCAGGCTGGTGGACCACTGCTGCAGGATGCGCTTCTTCTCCATGTTGATGGCGTCTATCTCCATGCAGGCCTGCCGCGGGAGGGGCCGCGGGCACAGGTGAGGGCGAGGGCTTCTCGGGAGCCGCCTCCACCCCCCCTCCGCCCCCGTCTGCCCTCTTTCTTGTCACGCAACAGCAAGGGGTAACAGGAAGCCAAACGGGCTTCAAGGAAGCCTGGAATCCCTTCAAGCCTCTGGCAGGGGCTGAGGTGCTCGGGGCTGGGAGTCCCCAAGGCTGCCGGCTGCCGCCTGGTTGGCCCAAGTGTGTTCTTTCTAACAGGGGTGGAGCCCGTCTTCCCAGTGAGGCGCTTTTCATTTTATCTATGGCTTTTCTAAAGTATCAACGTGTCGTTTGAGTGTGTTTTAGTAGTTGCCTTGGAATGAAGTCCAAGTAGTGATATTTGGGGGAAGGGGAGTGATTTTGCTACAAATTAAGTGTTGTCCTCAATAAGGGTCTTGACAGCAGGGAGGGACCCTGTGTGGAGGCCCGGGGTGGAGGTCCAGGGTGGAGGCTGGGCTTCCCTCAGGCTCCTCGGCCCTTGCCAGCTCAGTGGGGATGGCCCGCCTTTTCCATCAGCTGCTCACTGGCTTCTCAGTTCACCAGAGGAGCATCCGGGGCACCTGCTGGCCCAGGAAGGAAAATCAAAGCCCTGGGAGGCCCCTGTCCTGGTGGAGCCACGCCAGGATCGGGGGCAAAGGTGCAAACAGGCCTCAAGAAAGCAGAAACCCTGCAGCGTAGCCCCAGGGCGCTGGGTTCTGGGGATTCTCCAAGCCTCCCCACACCCTCTGTGGTGGGCAGCGGTCCGTCCCTCCTCAACTCATGATGAGATCCAACGCCCACGCTGGGTATCAAGAGGAGGGACCAGGCGGGACCTTGAGGGTGTGACCAGGGCTCTGCCCACCCTCACAGGTGGAGAAAGGCTGCAGTTCTGGGGAGATTTTGCCCATGAAAGCTCGCCCCGGGCCTCAGGCACCCTGTTCTCACCTTGGGACTGTGCTAGCAAGAGGGCGGTCCCCAGAGGCAGTCCCTTGACCTTGGGCCAAAGATGGTCCCTAGATGCAGTCCCTTGACCTTGGGCCAAAGATGGTCCCCAGAGGCAGTCCCTTGATCCCAGATAAACCTCTTCTACAGAGCCTCCTGGGGTGAGGTGCTGTGCCCCCCGACTGACTCGAGCGAGAGGTCTGTCTGTCTGCGTGTAGCTCACGGGGTCCTCGACTGCAGAGTTTCATGGCTGCTGTGGTCCCTCCACCCTTTCTGGGACGGTTCTGCTCTGGGTGATGCTGAGAGAGGCCCCTTCAGCCCCGGATTATATAAATATTTCCTTTCACCTCCTGGTCCATTCCCCGTTCAGATACTTGATTCCCCCTGGAACTTGCTGTGGTGGCTGGTGTGAGGGAAGGGCTGATTTTCCCTGGTGACCGCCCGTGAGCAGACTCCACTGGACCCACATTTTCTGTCGGCTCCCTACCTCATTCCAGTGTGTTTTAGTACCTGGGGGGGGCAGCACGAGGGTGACCCTGTCCCAGTTGGCCCAGGACTCTCTTGGGTTCGGGCCCACGTGCTGGGAATCCTTCCGTCCCAGGTATGGGGTCAGCTGGCTGCCCCACCGGACCTTCCCTGCCCCCATTCCTGGCTGGAAAACTCCAGAAGCGCTTTCTTAACCAAGAGACTCAGCTTCCCCCTGAGGTGTGAATGGAACCCACCCTGGGTTGATGGTGTTCCCAGGTGAACAGGACAGACGGCTTGGCGATGCCACACCCTCCTCCTGCCACCCTGGACCAGGCTTGCTGTCCCTCCTTCAAGTCCCCTCTTCTTGTGTTCGATGACTTCTGAGTCATTCCTGCACTAGCGAATGCAGACAGCAACTCAGGTACTAACCCTAGCCAGGTCACTTTGGTTCCTGGTTGACAGCTGCAGCTCCTACCCAGGAGCTCACCTCTGTGACCCTCCTCCTCCTGGGGCAGACGGTGGCACTGCCTGGGAGTGCCGGCCACCCCAGGGCTGAGAACTGTCACCAAGACTTAAGAGGCTGGCAGCCGGCTCAGGACTTGCCAAGGGTCCCCCAGCATTGGAAGTGCCTCACTTCCTGGCAGAACTTCCACGCCCTGTCCTAGGGCCCTGGGGCACCTGCTGGACCTCACCATGGGCACGGCCAGGGGCTCCCAGAGGCTAAAGGAGATGGGCAGATGGGCAAGGCCCGGCGTTCTGACTCTCTGGACTCGCGGCCGTTTGCAGTCACTCGTCAATGGTGGCATCAATGGTGGCACAGCCCAGAAGACTCCACGGCCCAGGAGTGGGGGTGTCAGGGGCGTTCTTACCTCACTCACTGCTTTCCTTAAGGTCTGGGTGTCCTCAGCTTGGGCAAGGTACTGCGCCTCGAACAGAGAGATGTCGTCTTCCAGCTGGCTGGTCCGCATGGTGAGCTGGTCCACGAACAGGTCCTGGGTTCAGGATGAGAAGGTGCTCAGAGAAGACCTGTCCACACCTGAGGACCACATCCACCAACCCGACCCAAGTCAGCGCCCAGGCTGCCTCGTCCTCTCCACTGGCAGGGCCCCGTGGGCAGCCCAGGGAAGGTTCAGAGATGAGCGGCTGCGGGACCCTCGGCGCACCTGCTTTCTCTTCTCTGCCTCCGCCCGAGTGCGCTCCACCTCGGCCTTCTTCACCACCTGCTTCATCACGCAGATGTCGTCCCGCACGTCCTGGTCCACGTTCTGCATGTAGAAGAGATTCAGGGCCAACCTCTCCATCTCCAACTGCAGGGCTGCCACTGGGGAGACAGGAGCGGCCGTCAGCTCTCCATCTCCAACTGCAGGGCTGCCACTGGGGAGTCAGGAGCAGGCCGTCAGCTCCTCCCGCGCTTCGCGTGGCCTGGAAGGAGGGGAGGGGCAGCACCCGGGACCCACACCGTCACCGGGCAGGGCCGGGGACCATGCTTCCAGGTGGGCTGGGACTGTGCTTGGACCACAAAGACCCAGGCTTTGACCAGGGCCAGTGCGGGCCCCAGGGTGAGGCGGCCCCCAGGCTGGGCCTCCAGCAGGCAGTACTTCCCATCCCCACTCAGAGCTGGAGAACGGTTTTTATCTGTGTTCCCCCAAAAGACTGGACCCCAAGGAAGGGATTCCCTTTAAGGAGAGTCCCATGAGATTGATGGTGAGGCTGCTGGAAGGGCCACCTGTTTGGGCAGCTGTGCCTCAACAAAGAATCGCTGCTCCCTGGCGTGGCGTACGCCAGGGCAGAGCGCACCCACCAGAGGCTCAGGGCTGCCCTCGAAGGACACAGCCCAAGCTCCAAAAGAAGATGCTTTTAAAGGCCCAGTGACTGTGGAATTTCCAGCGCCGTGAACGCTCGCTCCTGTCTACCGGATCCGGAGGCAGGAGCGGGGCAGCGGCAGCCCCTCAGGGAGACTGGCTGGCTGTGTTGGTCGGGGCTCCCTCCGGCTGCCTCAGGGTTGGGTTCTCATCAGTGTGACGGTGAGGCACCGGGCAGCTCTCCTTGGACCTGTGGGGTGACAGTTCCACCAACGTGGACGCTCCTCATCCACGATTTCTCTATTTCTCCTCTTCTCCTGCTCAGGACTCTGACGGACTCGTTAGGCCCTGGAAGGGAGCGTTCTCTTCTCTTCTGGGGTCTTTATCCCTCTCTCGGACCCACTCGGGCAGTCTCTGTTGTGGTGACTGCCAGTCACTGCCCTTGGTGATGGCGCCCAGGCTCTACCTCTGAGCTATGGCCTGCTCCCTCTCGCACAGTTCGCTGTCATCTGAGATTGCTCCTGCCAGGGAGCATGGGTGTGCCAGGGCGTCCATGCTGCGTCTGGGCAAGCACTGCCTGACTGTCCTTCAAGGAGACAGAGCCAACGGGGACGCTCTGCTCCGGATCTCGGACATCCTGACCCCTGGGCTCCTCCGAATGTGACTGCACCTGGACACAGCGCCTTTAAAGAGGTGCCAAGGCCAAGTGGGGCACTAGGGTAGCCCTGGCCCAGCCTGTGTTCTCATAAGAGACCAAGACACAGAGGGGTTTCCCTGAGAGACTCAGGAGGAGAGGCCATCGCACACTGAGGAGCCACCGGAGGAGCCAGCCCCACAACACCACCATCGGGGACGTCCAGCCCCCAGGGCTGTGAGAAATGAACCTCTGGTTTCAGCCACCGGTCCGTGGGACTTGGCATGGCACTGAGCGGACCACGTCACCACCTTCACACACCAGGTGTGTGTTCCACGCGTCCTTAAGAGCAGCCATCCCACCCTCTGCCGTGTGAGCAGCTAAGTCAAGGTTTCAGACGTCCTTTTAAAGGTTCACTCCCTGTTAGCCAAGGTGAACCCTTCTGTTTTTGGCACCAGGGGTCTTGTCCTCCCTAACTGCCCTGCCCGCCCGTCTCCCTGCCCCTTCTCCTACTGGAATGTAGGTGGTCTGTACTGGCTCCGGGGAGTTCCTTGTGTAACAAAAACGCTGTGGGCAGCATTTTCAAATGGCTCCCACATCTCTGCCTCTTGGGGCTACTCTGTGATTATGTTACTGATGCCACAAGGGAGGTCACCGGGTGGCCTGGGCTGGCAGGTGACCCCCTAAGAGCCAGTGTTCCCTGAGGATGGTGGTAAAGGGGAAGTCACAGCGGGAAGGATGGACAGTCTCCAAGGCTGGCTGGGAGGGGAGGGTCTGTGGGGCGTCTGCAGGAGCTGGGCACAGCCTTGTGGCAGTCAGCAGAGAAGGGGGCTCAGCCTCACAGGTGCAGGGGCCTGAAGACCCCCAGCGACGGGAACAAGCTCGGGAGCAGAGTTCCCCGGGAACTTCACTAGGAGGACGGTCACCACACCGACTTGGCCTTGCCGGGTCCTGAGTGGAACCTGGACTGCGTGCCAGACCCTCTGACAGGTGCAGCTGGGAGCCAGCGCATTTGTGGCTGTGTGCTGGGGGGCTGGATGTCGTCACTGACGTCTCAAGTGGCTTGTCCCCATTTGTGATTCTTGACAGGGACGTTTTCAGCTCTTCTGTAATCCCACCCGCCCAAGCCCTCCCCTCCGGCCTCTGTGCTCCACATCGTGCCTGAAGACCTTCTGCACCCCAGGTGACGAGGGATGACCTGGCATGTTCTTCTCGTGCTTCTGTGAATTTCTTAAATCTTTACTGTACCTAAACTTATTTCCCTGGAGTGGGAACTACGGAGAACAAAGCACTTCTTTTTCAGAAGATGGAGAACTTTCAGGGGGCTAGGTGCGGCTGGGCGGTGGGGCGCTTGCCCAGCACGCACCAGGCCCTGGGCTCCCTTCCCAGCACTGAAAAGAAACTCAGCAACTCAAACAAAGCAGCCTGCACGATTAGGTGGCTTTCAGTAGCTGATTCCAAAGCGCGTTCGCAGGTGCTCTGCGCCAATGCTGGCCGTTCCTCCCTGGAACTGCCGGCTGCTTTCCTCCCTCCTGTTACGTGGCAGAGTTCCAGGGAGCCTCCACGCTTGACCAGACATCTCCTTCGTGATGTCTCCTTTTCCACAGTTTCTTGGGTACTCTTGTGCATTTAGACCTCCAAGGTGATTTTCAAACCAACTTTCAAGGCATAGAGCTCTCTATGTGTGGAAATGGGACCCCCTCCAGGAGACGGGACCCTCCAGGAGACGTTACTCGGAGGAGAGCAGCGCTGTAACATTCAGCTGTGTACATGAGGCAGGAGGGAGCGACAGAGCCCTCCTGCAGCTGCTCATACCTGCAGACGTACTCTTCAGGGAGGACACCTGAGCCAACCTCGGTGGTGGCCTGGGGCTGGGGTGGTGGGGTGGGGGCACTTCTCACCGTGGAGATCTTCAATTCTGAATGATAGCTGTTTCAAAGTAAGACACTGGCCAATCAGCTCAACCTCACCAGAAGCAGCCCAACATGGACCTTAGCTGGTGTCGCACTAAATTTATTATTAACTTAGAGAGAAGTGACACTGATACCTTAGCACCTTCCCGTGGAGCCACCAGGTTGCTCCATTCAGTGAAGTCTGCTCCGCGTCATCCATTAGCATCGTTTTTCTCCTGACGGGCTCACCCCGTTCTTGTGGACTTGTTCCCCAGGGTCCTGTGGTTGCTATAGCTCCTGGGGATGGCATCTTTTTAAATCATCCTCCCTAGCTGTGTATTACTCGTGTAGAAGGAAACTGCACATCTGGCCTCCAGTTACTCCATGGAATTCCTGCTCCTATTAGCTTTTCATCGTCATCATGGTCAGTTATCGTGAATCTTTGATGCAATTCATTTCCACCACCTGCCGCATCCCGTCTCCCGGGCCCCTTGCTCTGCTGGGGCCTCCTGGCAGGCACTCAGGGGGGCACTCAGGCCTGGGTGGGCTGGTGTTTATCAAGCACCCATTTGGCGTCCATGCAGAGGCTTCTTTTCCTCCTTTGGTTTAATTCAGCGAGTTAACTGGGTAGGTTCCCAGTCCCGCATTACGCCTGACGTCCAGAAGAGAGCCCTCCTTGGTGGCTCGGCGCTTCTTTTCTCAGGTGCTGCTGAACTTGACCTGTGTGCATGGGCAGCTCCAGGGTGTGCTGGTTCAGTGGTGGTCAGCAGCGCTGCAGGACAGGCCTGGAAAGTTCCTCAGATTTCTGCCCCTGGAGGGCTGGGAGAGCAATCAGCGCCTGCCCGGAGCAGCACCGTTAGGGACAGCAACAGTCCTGGAGTCAGCCATGCGCAGACGCTTTGAAATAAGCAAGGCAGAAATTCCCTGGCATAGCTCTTGGTCCCACGCTGTGGCTTTGTGTCATCTCCCTTTTGCTCTTCATTCAACAGGAAGGAATTCTGTCAAGTTTATTGGTCATTTTATTTATTTATTTTTAAGAGAGAGAGAGAGAGAGAGAGGAGAGAGAGAGAGAGAGAATTTTAATATTTATTTTTTAGTTCTCGGCGGACACAACATCTTTGTTTGTATGTGGTGCTGAGGATCGAACCCGGGCCACACGCATGCCAGGCGAGCGCGCTACCGCTTGAGCCACATCCCCAGCCCCAAGTTTATTGGTCATTTTAAAAGTAAGTAGTTCTAAGGACTGGATGCCCACCGGGGGTATCCAGTCCAGGGGGTATCCAGTCCTCAGAACTCTTGAGCACCACCACACTGGTCACCAGGCTGCCACGCTTGAAAACAGAGGAGAAGGAGAAGGAGAGGGAAGGGGAAACAGAGGAGAGGAGAAAAGAAACAAAACGAGCCATGCCTGTCTGCCCCACCAGACCAGTCAGGAGTCCGGTCTGGCTGGAGGGGTGCTCTACCTCTCCCTGGTCCCTCCAGGGCCAGCCTTGGCCATGTGGGTTACAGAGCCACCAGGACCAGCTGCTGCTCCCTCCTCGGGCACTGGAGTCGTCCTGTGGAGATGTCTGAAGCGTCGTCTCCTTTTCCTTTGGAACCTGAAGATGTCAGCAGCTGCGTCCAGCCATGCTTATTCTTAATTCCGCTGTCCTGCTGCGGAGGTCTGTCATTCCCCATCTCGTGCCAGGTCTGAGCGTCACTGGTCACTGCCTCTCACCTCCTGAAGCTTCTTCCTGAACCCTGACTTTCCCAGATCTCTCCCTGCTTATCTCCTTCTCAGTTCGAGGGCAGGTTCCTCAAATTGGCCTGTTCACAAACTCAGTTCCAACAACATTCATTTGCTTGGTGCCTCTTTTGGGAGCTGGTTATATTTTTTAATTCCAGGGATCATTCTTCCTAACCCTGTGTTCTCCTTTACCATGCCATGTCCTCTGAAATCTCACACAGGATACGCGCTGGTGTGTGTCTGCTTCCAGATCTGCTCCGTGTCTGTGGGCCGCGCTGGCCGCAAGCCCCCGGATGGCTCGTGTTTTGATGGGAAGGTTTAGTGGCTGAGGTAGGTGACAAGGGCATTCAGGAGGGGCCAAGCACCAGGTGTCACCTAAGGGCCAGTGCATTGGCAGCAGCCCTGTGGCCAGGGCTACAACTGTAACGGAGTTTTTGGAGCTGAGAAGGATAAAAGTGTGCTGACCGCGGCCATCCCTGCCAGGCTGAGTGGCTTCTGTTCCTGCCCTCATCACATGAGGTCCCCACAGGTGTCTGGCTGTTTCCAGAAGGGCTGCGGCAGAGAGGAGCTGGCCAGCTCCATGGTACCTGGCTCACTGTGGGGGTGAGGTGGGGACAAGTGTCCCCCTTCAAGTTCCACTACAGTCCAGACGTGGCTCCTTGGCTTCAGTGTGGCTGTCGCCTTCCGTTTTGTGTTTTGGGTTGATTTGGAGGTAACGAGGAGAGATTTTTGATAAATGCTATGGTCTGAATGTGTCCTTCAAGAGTACATGCTGGAAATGTGACCTCCAAGGCACCAGGGGTGGTGGGGTGTTCCGGTCACCAGGACCCACTCCTGACGCATTCCTGCCACTCATGAAGGGCTGGGGGGTGCCAGGCCCACTCTCCTGCTCTCTCCCCTCTGCTCTGCTGCTGTGGGATGCTGCACTCCACAGGTGCGGGCCCTCGATCCCGGAGCTCCCAGTCTCCAGAACCATGAGTCAAACAAACTCTGCCCATTGCTGATGGCCCCACGGACTCTCCGGCAGAACCACAGACCTGGACCTGGAAAGGTCTGGAAACCCCTCCTGAATTCTCAGGGCTCAAAGTATTTCTTTCCAGAACAGGTGGATATACCTAAGGTGCTATTTTCTTCCAGATTTTTTTTAGGCTATTTCCCTGTTACATTAGTGTAGTGTTGACAAAGAAAGTTGGGGACTTGACTCCCAGTGACCACAAGAGGAGGCCACTGCTCACCGTCCCTGTGCCCTCTGTGCAGGACCAGGAGTGCTTCAGGCCTTGCCACTGCTCCCCTGGCTCCCGGAGCCACCGCTACCTGGTTTCCCATCAGGCTGCCCCATCCCTGGCTGCGGGGCTGCGGGGACCAGCCTTTGCGTCTTCAGCATGGCCTCGTCCGGGAATGAAACCCTACCTACCCTCTCTGCTCTGAGCTTCCTTGGGACCCGACCTCGGTAGACCCCACCATCCCCATGTTTTTGAGTCTCCACCCCTGATTACTGAACTATTATCAGTTTTAGGGTTTGCCCGATTTTTAAAAAGAAATTTATGGGTCTTCCTTTAAAAAACAAACAAACCAGGAACCCCTCCACGATGCCCACACACGTTTGGCTTTGATGGCTGTCCCGCGGGTCATTTTAAAAAACAAGTAGTTGGAAGGGCTGGATACCCACCACGGCACGGGGAGGGGAGGGGACGCACACGTGGCGCAGGCGCCTTACGCTTTTTGCGCTCCTGGTTGGCGGCCGCGTTGGTCTTGTCGTAGAGCGCGCGCGCCTCCCGCAGCTGCTCCTCCTGCTGCCTCCTCTCACACGCGGCCACCGAGTGGCGGTCATGGCTCTTCTCCAGCTGCATCTGCAGGCGGGCTAGGTGCTGCTGGACTCCATAGAGATTGACGCCCAGCTCCTGCCGCTGGGCGTGGCTTTGCTTGGTGGCCACTTCCTGCGCCGCAGAGAGAAACAGGGTCACGGGATGCCGGCGCCCAGCCTGGGTGGGAGACGGGACCCATACGCACCAGCTCTTGAAGTTCCAGCCTCAACTTGTCTATCTGTCGGGTAAGGTAGCTCTTCAGGGCAGCCTGGAACCTGACCATCAGAGGCTAAGACAATGGAAAAGCGTGTGCCAGTGACGGCAGGGCCTAGTCCAGGGACACCCACCTCCCTCCTGTGCATGCGCGGGGGCACAGAGATGGCCGTGCGCCCCACTTCCTGCCCCGGCGTCCTACTGGATGAGCACTGCAGAACCGAATGGCAAAAGGGTAGTGAGCTGTGGTGGCCTTCCTAGTGTTCCCTGGGGCGGGTGGTGGTATGACCAGTGGCCAGGGTGCCAGCCTCAGAGGTGTGGCCAAAGAACTTCCCAGTGCACCCCGCTCCTTCCTCCGGCTGCCTGGAGCACCACAACTTTCTAAATGGGTTACAAAAATCAAAATTCCCTTTTTTTCTGCCAGGGGCTGGGACAAGGAACTACAAGCTGGTTGGGGCACTCAGGGCAGTGACTCTCGGCCGGGTGATTCTGCCCCCAGCACGGCCCTTCAGCACAGTCTGAGACATTTTTGGGTGTCACAAGGAAGGGGGTGCTCCTGGCAAGGGAGGGTGGAGGTCAGGGGCCTGTTCAGCACCTGCATGTCCAGGGTGGCCGTCCCCAAGTGGTCTGCCCCAGCGTGGTCTGCCCCAAGTGTTAGGGTTGGGCTGGAAAGGTGCACTCATCTAAAAGAAAAGTGCTGTTGCCAAGTGGGCCCAAAGTGCAGCTGACCGTTGGGGAGCAGGTGAGACCGACACAGCACAGGGGGTCCGAGGCCTACGCCGTTCTTCCCCCGTGGAGAGTGGGAGCAAAGCCCAGGAGCGTTTCTTACGTGCTCAGGGTCCAGAACCACCAGTTGGGATGCCTCTTCTTCAGCCTCTTCACTCTCGTCGGACTCGATTCTGTCCTCCAGGGCCTCTTCCTCTGAGGTCAGTTGTTGGATCCGGTCCAGGAAGGCCGTCAGGGGTTCCTCCCGAGGTCCTGCCTGGGGCTCCTCCTCTGTGGGAGGAACCAGAATGTTGCTGGAAAGAGGTCTAAACATCGTATTCTGGGGGAGGCAGCCGCAAAGCTGCCCCCACCGTGGGGCACGATGAAAAAGAGAAGGGAAAGCCACCCCACCAAGGCTCAGGGTTCAGAGGTGGTTCACGGTCCCTGTTCCTAGAAGCCCCGGTGTCCCGAGTGACCAGAAGCGGGTGTTGCTGGTGACCTGGAGGTGAGCTTTCTTTAAATGAGGAACAGCTGGCAAGATTGAAAAAGCAGGGAAGTGATGAAGGAGGCTCTGGGAACAGCGTCTCTCTCTGGTGGGGGAGAGGCCTGCTCTGTTTTTTACGGGGTTAGACAGGTGCTGTTCTCGGGTCGTTTGTGCACAGTGTGAGGGCTCGTGGACAGGTGTTCCCTGGGGAGTAAGCACCTTGCCATCTGGCCCCCATGCCCACACAGGGCTGCCACAGCCAGGTGAAAACGCGGGCCCTCCTGGCAGGCCTTTGCCAGGCAGCACAACGCTGGGGCCAGGGCTCCTCCCCAGGGACCAGGAGGCAGGGACTGGGGTGGGGCCTCTCGGGCTCTGCATGAAGACCCCATCCTGCCGCTGACTTGGATAAATCACTGACTGGCTCCTGGGGTGCTTGGAGCCTGGTTCCTACTCTGCGGGTTAGAGTAAGGACTGAGTAGAACAGAGGAATGCTGGGGAGTGCTGCGTCTACTGAGGACGACTTTCTTTAGTCCCCAGCGTAGGAAACAAGGACGGCCCCAGGCGCTGCCCCACCTGGCTCCTGGGTGCTCTGGGGAAGCTCCTCTGCGATGTTCTCCAGGCTCAGTCTGACGTGGTGTTGGGTCCCCATGGGAAAGGCCTTCTGTGGGGCGTCTTTCTGTGCTTCCGTCTGTGGCAAGAACAGTCAAAACAAATCAGCGAGGGCTGGTGTGACTGGGATGTGGTCTGAGTCTCCACAAGGGCTCCGTGAGCAGAGGCGTGTCCCTGGATGTGGCTACTGTGATGGGACCGGCCTGGTGGGAGGTCCTTGCATCACTGGGGGTGCCCTGAGGAGGTTCTCATGGGACCCTTTGAGCGGTTCTCATGGATTGGCCCCTCCATTCCTTCTGCTTACGCCTGCACGCCTTCCCACCACAGCTATCCATGCCAAGGGTGGCCCTCCCACAGAGCCTGTGCTACGCTGTGTGGACTTTCAGCCTCTAAAACTCTGAGCTAAATAAACCTCTTCTTATTCATAAGGAGCCTGGGTCAGGCATTTCATTATAGTGACGAAAAGCTGATTAATACAAGGACTCAGTCACAACAGGGAGGTTATTTGATTTTGGTTCATTACGTTGTTCAAATGCAACGTAGTTGTGAAAGCAGTAGAAAATTGGACATGAAGGTTATTTGGCTTTTGCAAATGGCCAAGATAGAAAACACCCAGCCCTTGCCTTAGGGATTCTGGGAAAGGTCTTTGTTGGTCCGGACCTACAGCTAAGTATCTGCACAAGGGTGTGTGGACACGGGCGGATTCTTCACTCTGAATGCCCGTCTGCCTGTGGGGGGGGGGGGCCCTGTCCTGAGCATGCTGGAAAGTCTCCACAGCCATCAAGGGCTTCTTTCTTCTTTCAAACCACTCATCTTTATAAGAATTTTATAATAAAATATCTTCCCTTGGCATAAACACCTGGTTCTGCTTTGGCTTTTATTATCTGTCTGTTTCCGTGGTGCTGGGGCTGTTTGGCTTTTAAAGAGCAATTATCATTATGGACATCATCGCTGCTGCCGCTGAATGGTGAATACTGGCCGCGGCTCACAGTGATCCCTCGTATCCGCTCCCCCTGGCCCTCCCCATGACCCACAGGGAGAACAGCCTGTGGCAGCTGAAGTGCTCACCCAAGTTTGTGCAGAGGCTGGAGTCCCAGTTGTCAGCCTGTGCCCTCCCTGCCGTCCCTCTCCTGATGCTCCCCCCTCCTCCTCTCCCCACTTTTTCTTTTTCCTGCAGTGATAGGGAGGAACCCAGGGCCTCACTCAGCCAGGTGGGCGCTCTCACACCGAGCTGCACCCCAGCCCTAGGAACTGTCCCAGCAGCATCCAGAGCCACAGTGACATTATGGAGGTGCAGTGGCCAGAGCCTATCTCCAGAGTGTCCAGAATGGGCTTCTCCTAATGAGAAGCCAGTGACGTCCACACACACACGGTTGGACCCCACAGGGTCCACTCATCATCCTATTTTCTCCCAAGAGGGAGCCAGCAGGAGGGAGGGGAGTGGGGCTCTCTCGGGGTTTGTCTCTGATCTTCTGGTCGATCCTATTTGGAAACTGCATCCCCGTGAATTTTCCGGAAACTGGGCCCAAGGGTGCAAATAGGGTCTACAGTGCAAGGAGTGCTGCGTAGATCACCCACAGAGGCCCGCGCTCACTGACGTCCAGCTCCTAAAGGCGGCTTCACCACGCATTTGTCACTTGTCATCATTAAGCTTAATTGAGGCTCATCAAATATTGAGTGCTGTGATTCTCCAGGGTTACTGAATCTCAGGTTTCACGGGATGGGGGGAGGGGGGGAGGGGGGGAGGGGGGGATGGCGGCTTCCCTCGGAGCAAGAGCTGCTGTCTGCAGGGAGGCTGGCCTGGCCCGGGCAAGGAGGCCTCCACCTGTACTATGGGGGAATGGTGGCTCCTGCAGGGCTGCTGTCAGGACAGGTGACATCAAGGCACAGCACAGAGTCCGAGTGCGGCGCTCCACCCCCCCCCCCCCCCCCACTTCCAGAACCAACCCAGCCCTAAGGCCAGGAATTCACAGCTCAAGGATGGTGGGGAGGCCAGGGGAGGGGCAAGGAGACGCAGTGGAGTGGGAGGTGGGTCATATGGGGGGTGTCGAAGACACTGGTAAGTCCACTAAGGGGCCTGGGGGTGAGGCTCCCAATCAGTATAATCTACTAGATTAAAAACCTAAAAATGGAAAAAGGGGGCGGGGTGTGTAGGGAGTGGCAGAGGCCTTAGCAAGCGCGAGGCCCTGGGTTCCATCCCCAGTACCGCAAATAAAAAAATAGACAGATAAATAAACAAAAGCTAAGAAAGACCAACACCACACAATCTTCTCCACAGACACACAAAGAATGTGAGAGAATCCAACACTTACGACAGACAAAGCAAAACACCCTAACACCCTACAAACTAGGGATGAAGGGACCTGCCCCCAACCTGTATGTCCAAAAGCTTTGTGTCATGTGACCAAAATACCAGACAAGAACAGCTCACAGAGGGGCTGGGCCGTGGCTCAGCGGTAGAGCGCTCGCCTAGCACGTGGGAGGTCCTGAGTTCGATCCTCAGCACCACATGAAAATAAAAATAAATAAAATAAAGGTCTTGTGTCCAACTACAGCTAAAAAAGAACGACTCGGAGGAGGCAAAGTTTATTTGGCCTCATGGTTTCAGTGGTCTCAGTCCACGGTCAGCCAACTCCATTGCCCTGAGCCCAAAGCAGAACATCATGGCAAAAGGGAATGGTGGTGGGAGAAATCTGTGAGCTCCTGGCCATCAGGAAGCAGAGAGAGAGACAGACAGACAGAGAGCACGTCTCCGTGACCCTCCTTCTCCAGCTACACCGCACCTGCCAACAGGACCACCTAGCCAGTCCATTCAAACTAGGATAAACTGATTAGGTTACAGCTCTTAAAGTCCAATCATTGCACCTCTGAATATTTCTGCATTCACAGAAGCATTTTGGAGACACCTCACATCCAAACTCTAACAACAACCTGATAAAAAGCATCTACAAAAAAAACAGTGAAAAACTGAAAGATTTCCACAGGCGATCAGGAACAAGACAAGGATGTCCACTTTCACCCCAGATAATCAGCATTGTGCTCGCGGGTCTAGCCAATGCAATCAGGCAAGAAAAGGAAATAAAAGGTGTCCACATTGAAAAGGAAGACAGTAACTGCCTTTATTCTCAGAAGATGGGATCATCTCTGGGGAAAAAAAAAAAAAAAAACCACAACTTATGGATTCTCCTAACAAGGGAGTTGAGCAACCTTGCAGAATGTAAGGATAATAAAGAAAAATCAATTGTATTTCTGTAAACCAGCAACAAATCATTGTAATCCCTTTACAATAGAGTTGAAAAAAAATAAGAAACATTTAGGGACAACTCTGGCAAAAGGTGTGCAACACCTGTATACAATACCCAAGAGAAATAAGTCCTGAATAAATGGTAGTAATCTGTTGTGATTTTTTTCTCATTCTAAATACACATTCATTTTCATATTGCAATAAAAAGTACCTTCCCATGAAGGTACTTTATTAAATGCAAAGATTAAAGACTGACTTCACAATGAGGAAGCCTGGCACTTTTCATTCAAGTGGTTAAAATGAACATGGTCAATTAGGGTATTGGACCTGGCCTTGCCTGGTTGTTGCAGTGGACAGCAGGGCACCACCTCTGTGGTGTCCCTGCCAGAGATGGTCACCCAAACCTCCTCATGGGAAAACCCAGGCAAATCCCTGTGGGGATATTGTACAAGGAAACTGTCCTTGGTCTTCACAAGGTCAATGTCATCAATGGACAGAGAGAGAAGACGAAAGGGATGTGAGAGTCAAGGCAATGTGTGATTCCAAACAGGACCTCCCTGCTAGAAAAGTCGTTACCGGGGCATCAGGTGAAATGTGAATGAGGCTGAAACTTATTTGATCATGTAGCAACACAATTTCCAGATTATTATTATTATTATTATTTTTACTGCTGGGGAAGGAACTCAGGGCCTTGAGCATATTAGACCAGCACTACTGTTGAGCTACACCCCTACTCTCAATTTTCAGATTTCAATGGTTATTTGTGGGAAACACATAAAATCATTCAGAGATGATCGTGTACAGGTCAGCAACTTACTTTTGAATGCCTGAGGAAATAAAATGTGCCTTATATTGTAACATTATTTTTTCCTGTAAGTTGGTAATTGTCTAAAAAAAATGAGGATGTAACTATTCTCATTATTTTTCACCTAGAACTGCACTGTCCAATATGTTAGCCCCTAGCAGTAGGTGGCCATTTAAATGTAAATTAACTGGAATTTATTAAAATAAGAAATTGAGTTTCTCTTTCTCACCAGCCAGATCTCAAATGCTCTTGAAATGAGCACATGAGCCCTGTGACTTGTGGCCAGCATCCTGGCTCATGTTGCTCTGGATGTCCTGATGTGGAGGGTGGCTTTGAAGGTCAACCACTGTGGGTGTGGGAGCACTGAGGTCCAGGATCTCCTGGAATAGGCTAGTAGGTTCTGAAGCTTAATTTGCTTCGGAATCCTAACAGGGGTTGCAGTTTGGGTTATAGTGTGTCTTTAAGCTGTTTACATAGGGTGATGAACCACATGGGCAGTAAGATGTTTTCACAAAATAGAACCCAGGGCTACTCACCAAGCTGTCCTCTGTGGGTTCAGAAGCACCTGGGCCCGTTTGCTCAGATGGGCCTGCGACTTGCTGCAGACTGGGCTCTCTGGAGATGGCCCCTTTTGATTCAGATGGCTCAACGGCTTCTTGATAGGAATCTTCAACGCTTTCCTGCAGATGTTCAGGGCCATTTCCATCTTCTGGCTCTTCCTGAAGGTTGGCATCTGAATGAATGGACTGTGCAGAGCTGATTCGTCTTTCAACCATTGTGACTTCCACATTAGAAAAGGGTACGATTTCCCCAACGGGCAGGTCTTCCTCCTCGGCGTTATCTTCAACAGCAACTTGTCCTTCCGTGGACTCTTCCTCATCCTCAGCGACTTCCTCCTCATCTGAGCCTTCCCCTCCCACTTCCCCTCCGCCTTCAGTGGTGATTTGCTCTTCCGAGGCACCCTCCGCCTGTTTGCTTATCTGGTCATTGTTCTCTAGCGGTGGTGATTCCTATAATGGGATGGCAGGGAAAAAGCAAGGATCAAAGTATAAAGGGTCTTGGGAGGGGCTGTGCTCAGTCGGGAAATGCCTTCACATGCCTCCCATCACTAAGACGGTCTCAAGCTGGGTCTACTCTCTTGGTTTTGCCTCCATGCTCTCAACTTCATTACAGGAAATGAGTCTTGGAAAACTCAGGGCAATCCCAGAGCTGGATATCTTGGCTGATTGCAGGCCCTTTAAAATGAAGTGGAAGGAAAACCAGTTTTCCTGTAACTGAACTGAGTGTGCCCCCGTGCCAGGTGAAAGGACCCTTACACAACTGAGGCCAGCAAGTTCCCCCCTTACCTCCTGGTGAACACAAGCCCAGAACAACTCTTCCCAGAGGGAACTTTACCGCTTGGACTTCTGTTTCCTGTGTCTCCTCTCCTCCAGAAGCCAATCCGCCTTCCGGGTGAGACCTGTTTTAGGGAAACAGTCCCACAGTTGGCATGTACCCCCTCCTGAATTCTGTAGGTCAGCTTATTGCCTAGGCTCTCAGCCAGGACTTTGCCCATCATTAGATCACACTTGCTAGGTGTTCCAGGTGCCAAGAGCTCTGAGCATGAGTGGAAAACACAATGACCCAAACATCAAAGGAGCACTGCAGAAAGGTCACCTTGACTATACTGTGTCTGGGACAACATTGGGGACAGTAAATACAAAGCACAAAAAATTGCACCAAAAAGGTCAGAAGCCCCAAAGACTCTTTGTCAGCTTCCCAATGTTTACGTAGAACAAGAACATTATGATTTACATTTAAACTATTATGTTTTTTAAAAATTAAAACCTAATCTTTTAAAAGCAAATCAATATAGATACTTGTGGACAAACAACGACAACCGCTGTGATTTCCCGTCCTTCCCAAGATAACCACTGGTAATAGGAGGCGATTTAGGACACAATTGTATTCCTTCAGATTTTTTCCTATGCATTTAGCCCGAAACCCCGCCCCACCCCTTAGAGCGTGCTGCATGTATTGTTTTACTTTTAGTCTTCTCTTTCGGCTCAACCTGGACATTGTTCCATCAGTTCATAGAGGACCTACCCTTTTTCAAAACAAGAAGCAGTACGGAGGTGTCTACGCAAAAAGCCCAGATTCTTTAAAATCGGGTTTGTCCTTTTACATAAAGCATAGCAGAGTGCAGGGTTGGCAGCGTGCGTCTTTACCTAACGCCCCTCTAGGTGCGCTCAGGGAAAGCGCTGGGCCCCAGGCAGAGCTGACATTTGGGGACCGCCTGTCTCCCCCCAGCCTGTGACTGGGAATCCGTCCTTGCAGGAGAGAGGCGAGAGACTGCTAAGGTTCCTGTCACAAGAAGTGTCCCCAGCATCCCATGGACGGGATCCCTACTCCGCAGCCCCGAGAGCCCAGCAGCGCAGTGGTTGCCATGGTTACTGCGGGGCGCGCGAGTCCGGGGTCTTCAGGCGAGGAAAGCGCTTGGAGTAGGGGAAGAGGGAGGGTAGGGGAGGACAAAGGACTGGAGGTGAGAAGGGAGAGGGGCAGGGGCGGGCGGCTGACGCGGAGGGTCGGTAAAGCCCCGGGAGTGGGGAGAAGGGACAGAGTGGGAGGAAAGGAGCAAGAGAGCGAAGGGGGCGACGCGAGGCCACCCCGGCGTGAACTGCGGACGAGCGCGGTGGGCTGCTCCCTGGCCGGCGGCCCCCTTGGCCCCGCTTACCCTTCAGCCTGGTCGCCCGGCTCCGCCATCTCGTGTTGCTAGGCGACGCCGTCAACATCCGGCGGGGCCGGGACCGCGCGGGGGCGAGGGGGCCGAGCCCCGCGCAGGGCGGCGCGGCCCTTGAGCTATCCGTGTGCACGTGGAGCACACCAAAAGTGTACATTAAAGCGTCAATCTGGTCTTCCACCGCCGCGTCCGAGCTTTGCGCCGCCCGGGCTCAGTTTCCGTAGCGTAACGGGCGTCCAGCTGGGCCTCTCTGATGTGCGGGGACCTAACGGCTGTGGGCCCCGAGGGTGGCAGGCTGGGTCGGGGCGCCAGGGGTTGGGGACTCCGCCTTTCCATCTCCCGCGTTGGGGGCTCGGGCGCCCTCTTCCCAGAGTCCTGAGAGGAACCCTTGGCCAAGCAAGGATGCCCAGCGCTTCCCGGAGGGTGTCCTTCCTTCCTACCCCCGAGTACGAAAAATAGAAAGGCAGAAGGCGCTGGGGGAGGCGAGCGCACACGGGGAGCGCCCGAGGGACCTCGCCTCTCCGCGAGGCGGCGGCGCTCCCTTAAAGGGCAGCGTCCCCGGGACGAGAGCCGGCGGCGAGGCTGGAAGTGCGCGGCCCGGCGAGGGCCAGACCCCGAGGCTGGGGGCGGCAGGAGGGCGGGGGACTGGGGGCGGAGACCCGGGGGCGGTCCGGGAGGGCCTGGGCGGAGGCCGGGGCGGGCCGGGGGCCGGGCCTCGCCACGCGTCCCCGCCCTACCGCGCCTCACTGGCGGCGGCAGCGACGGCGGCGGTGGCGGCTCCCGGAGCCGGCGCGAATCCGGCCCCCGCGGCGCGACCCGGGTGAGTATCGCGGCCAGGCCGGAGCCGCGAGGGCGGGGGCAGCTGGGCCCGCTCGGGACGCGGCGGCGCCGCTCGGCGGAGCTGGGGTGGGGCGCGCGGGGGGTGCGGGCCTGCAGCCGGGAGGGGCCGGGGGCCGGCCGCAGCCGGAGGCACGCGGAGCGCGAGCGGGAGCGGGGTCCTTGCGGCAGGACCCGGGATCGCGCCAGACGCACCCCGGGGCCTCCCTCCAAGGCGAGTGGGGCTCCCTGGGCTGGCCGCGGGCCTAATTCCGGGCGACTCGGTCCCAGCGGTCTGGAGTCGTGGGCCCGGGAACTTGCGTTCTTTGTCTGGCTTGATCGGCAGTGCGTGCCAATGGGAACTCGCGGGGTGCCGGCGCTGGCGACACTGGCCCCGAGGTGCCCTCCACTCCAGGCCCGCGCTGTCTTAGCATTTCGGGCCTGTAGGTGGGTGGACTGGGCTGTTCAAGATCCACATGTCAGGGTACTCACTTCTTTTTGATCTGGGCTCTTCTGCCTATTCTTTCCTTAAACAAACAAACAAACAAAAAATAAAAAAAGAAAGAAAAAGAAAAAGAAAGAAAGAAAAATGAAAAAAAATTAATTTAGGATTGTTAAAAATAACCTAAGGAACCTTGCCAGAAGGTGGTGAATCTTGAAATCCTGTTATTCCCACACTCGGAAGTTGGTGTCATATGTTGGCCACATTCTAGTTCAGAGTCGTTCAGAAATAGGAGTAGGAAGGACACAGTGGAAGTTAGTCCCTCATTCCTTGTAGAGTTTGTTTTACTGCCTGGGTTAAGGCCCTTGGCCAGGTTGGGCTGACTGACCGGCTGTTACTAGATCCTAAGGATCTTCCTGCTTTGCATCCTGAAACCACCCTATGCCTTCTTCATCTGAAAGGAAAGGCACCGGTTGTCAGAGTGTGCTTCAGAGACCTGGAGGCTGGGGAATTCCATTCCAAATCTGCCACCAACTGATTAAAGAACTTAAAAAAAAAAAAAAAAAATCTGTGTTAGTTTTAGAAATTCCTCATTAGAAACATTAACATTAAAAGATGTGAATATTAAACACTTTCAGGAACCATGAAAGCTTTTGCAGATAAAGCCTTGTCAAGGGGCGCAGTACCCTGAGTGTTAACTTCAGCGTTCTCCCGTGGCCGTCTGCATGGACGGCCCGTGTTGCCTGAGTGCAGTTATTGCATTTTTTGTAGCTCATTTTTTTTTTTTTTTTAGCATGTTCTATGTTCATAGTGAGCAGAGTCTCGGAATACAGCTAAGGAAAGTTCTTTTTAGTGGAATTGTTTAATCTGCTAGCAATTATTGTGGTCGTGTGGGTGGCTCCTGATTATTATACATGAATTCACTGAACCCACAAAATAAACCCATGGGCCAGGCTGTGGTTTGTCACCATTTTATGTAGGAACACTGAGCCTTGGAGAAGTAACTTCTCCATGTTTGTGGAGTGACCCCCGTACCTCAGTGCAGGATGTTCCAGCTCCAGAAAACCCAGAGCCCCCCCTCCTGCAGCTGGCCTCCCCGTCCACAGGCACACTTTGCCAAGTGATTCATAAAGATGCAGGGAAGCAAGGCACATGTCATGTCATTGCCAGCTGCTAGTCCCAGTTCACTTTAGTCCGCGAAGAGCCTTCCAGGGTTCGGTGTGAAGGCATTGGAGAAGATAGGTGTGGAGTTTGCAACCTGCCTACAATTGCGTTGGTCCCTCTGCCCCCAGTTTTGGGTGGCCAAGTGCAATGATTAAGAACATAGCCTCCAAAAATAGACTTCTGGGTTCAAATAACCCTGCCATCTGGCCCTCACTTAATTCTCCTGTCTCAGTTTCCCATCTGTACAATGGTAATAATACCACCTACTTCAAAGGCTTGCAAGGGTTATGGAGAGCACAGAGTGCCTGACATACAGTAGATGCCTGTTCCCATTTTAAATCATTATCAATGGCCGACATTTGGATTTTTCAGATTTAGCTGGACTGTAAAAACATTGTGGTTTTGTTTTTCTGACTTCTTGTCCGTGTGCTTCGTCAAGTGGAAAGCTGATTTGGGGCAGATGTGAGATTCAGCATTTAACTCTGTTTTCAGTCTTGTCTTTGTGACTTGGCTGGGTCTGTGTCCCACAGGCTCTTCTGGGCACCAGGTCGGACCAGGTTGCCTGGTAACACAAATCTCCTATAGAATTTTAGGCTGTCCCTTCCTGGTACCTGGTTTTATCCACAGGCCTGATTCTATTCTGGTAGGACTAGCTACTTATTTTCATATAATATTAAGGTGTGGGGGAGGAGAGCCCTTGAATGGGAAGGGTTTGAAGTGAGGGGGTTGGTGTCATTGTTTGTATTATGCCCATGTAGTCGATGAGGCCAGCGCACAAGAAAGAAAACACACGTTTGTACTCTTCTTCCCCAAACGCTGAGGGTCTCTCTCCCTCTTTTTGACTGCACTGGTGTTCTTAGTGCTATTTATCCCTGGGACACCTGGTCTAACATCTGTAATAAGTCGGCTGTTATGAGCCATCTGGTGAGATCTGCTCTGAGTGCATCCTTTTCTGTCTTGGGAACCTACATATTCATCCTCTAAGGATGAGAGAAATCAGGCCACAGGGGGACAGAGCCCCATCTCTGCTCAAGTAACTTCCACCAGACAGACAGTACAAGGAAAGAAACAGGAAGAACCCATATCCACTGTCTGGTCAGCGCAGCCTGTCCTTCTCTGCTGAGTCTTGGACTCTGACTGTATACAGGTGTTTATAGTCGGCGCACATAAAAAATGACCTGCGTGGACTGCTAATAGAAATGTGGCAGTATTATTTCCACGGCCTTTCTGGATTGGCCCTTGGAGAAGGCTCGTCTGTGGGTGCCAGCTTGCATGCTTGGTTTATCATGGGCTGGTGTACCCACGCCGAAGGACCCGGGTCAGTGGTCTGATGGGATGTCACCACTCCCTAGTGTTCTGGAAGTGAGGGGACCGGGCAACCTGACAGATGTTGTGGGCCACTCTCACCTGTTCTCTGTGCGAGCAGTGTTGGCTGTGTTTGTGGTGTTGTCTGTGTGGTCTCCCCATTTCGGTTTTGCTTTGTGGTGTGTCCCCTGGTACCTTAGCAAAGACAGCGTGAGCCTTTAGGAGCGAGTGTCCTGGGTGCAGTGTGGATGTAGCCAACCCCGCCGGATTCATTGGTCTCCTGCCTGCATTTACACCCTTCTTACCTTTTGGTTGGGTCCTTCCTTGGCCCCAGCCCCTCCCTGGCCTGACGGCCTGGGCTCTTTGGGGGCATGGGATGCTTGTGTTTGCAGTCGAGGGGCACCAAGGCAGATGGTCTGTCCTGGAGGCCCGGCTTTGGGGTTTTCCAGGGAGTGGCAGTACTTGGCGTGACAGTTGGACGGTTGGAGGAGCACAGCTTCCCCAGCCTCCTTTGGTTGGCTGTCATGCCACCTCTCCAAAGTCCTTTCCCATGTGGCAAGTGGCTCCAGGAGCCTGTACCTGCACCCTAGTTCCTTCCCTCTGAGGACAGCCGCCACCTGCCCTCACTCCTCTCGGGGGCTTCTGAGGCTGCATCCTTTCCCATGTGAGCCCCGACGGTGGGCTGTGTGTGCACAAACAGGGTTCTCCTCTGCACTAACCCCTACCTGAACAGATGCCACCGAGAGGACAAGTTGTGTCCACTTCCAGGGGCTCACCGGAGTGATGGAACTGGAGGGGGCCCAGATTCCCAAACTGCGTTGCCCACGACCCGGGTGCCGACGTGGCTGCCTGCAGCACTGCTAGGGCCTTTCCCTTCAAGCTGTGTTCCCCGAAGACGGTGGTACGTGGGGGACGGACAGCCCCGGGCGGGGGCGCTGAGGCCAGTCCCAGGTGTGTTGGGCAGTTTTACAGAGGAAAACGACCCTCATCTGTGCACGTCTGGCTGTTGGATAAGGCAGCGAGCGCCTCTTCCTGCTCTTTGTTACTTGGACTTGGAGGGCAAAGCAGATGAACTGGTTTTTGGGTACATGGCAGGTGACCTGAGCTCAGGGCATTTGGCTTTGGAGCGGTACGACAGTGACAAGGCCAGGGGAGCATTCAGCTGTGGGCTTCATCTCACGACTCTTTCCTGTGGGCTTCATCTCACGACTGGTTCCTGGAAGGGTCCTGTGGCTCCTGGTCTTGGCCTGGCTCCACCCCTGGTGCCCCTGGGAGCAGTGGCCACCCTGTGCAGGG